ATAGAATAATAGTTAAGTTTGAGAGACTTCTACATCAACATCAACATCAATAGTTATTATATAAATCATGCATGCTTTATTTCAATATATGACAAATTGTGTTTAAAACATGTAGGCATTCCACAAAATGAAGGTCCGATATACTTGGGATATGATCAACCTCTTTTAGGCACACAAGATTTACCATGGCTTATTGGAAATCTAGTTTCAAGAAAATCTAGATTCAAGTTTTGGACAAGAACATTGGCTAGAACAAGAACGCTTTCACAAATCCTCGTAAACAGCTTCCCTGAGGAACACCACATTGATACTAACTTACAAGATCAATCAATAAAATACCCAAATATCACTCCAATTGGACCATTGACACAGCATACCCGTTATGGAATCCCTCGTTTTTCAGAAGAAGATATGAGTTGTTTGGATTGGTTAGACCAACAAAGTGATCGCTCTGTTGTCTACATCTCCTTTGGGACATGGGTTAGCCCGATTGGTAAGGCAAAGGTGAGAAACCTAGCTATAGCTTTGGAATCATCCAAACGTCCATTCATTTGGGTTCTAGGTTCAAAATGGCGCGAAGGGCTACCAAAAAACTATGTGGAGCGAATGTGGAATCGAGGAAGAGTGGTTTCTTGGGCCCCACAAAGTGAAGTGCTACGACATAAAGGAGTTGGGTGTTATCTAACACATTGTGGATGGAACTCCACCATAGAAGCAATACAAAGCAAGGTGAGATTATTGTGTTATCCGATTGCAGGAGACCAATTTGTGAATTGTGACTACATTGTAAAGATTTGGCGAATTGGGATTAGAATGAGTGATTTTGGCGAAGAAAATGTTCATAGAAGCTTAGAGAAGGTGATGGACGATATAGAGATGGAGGAAAGGCTAGTTAAGATGAATCAAAGAGTTTTCGGGATGGAAACTAGTTTAAGGGTGATTGCTAATTTGACAAATTTTGTTGATGATTATAGCAAAGTTACCAATGATCAACCTTTAACTAAAGAAAGCTAAAATGAAAGGTTGCATAAGGACGAAAGTCATAAATTAGGTTGTTTCTACTTTGTGTGGAGAATAATAAAGATGAGATCCATAAGATTAAGTCCACCTCCAACTTCGAAAGACCAAATTTAAACGATGAATTCCTTTGTGTATTTGTAAAGACTGATATAACTTTGTATTAAAACTCGAAACTTTTATGTAGTCTTTGGTGCCAAAATTTTGTTAACTGATATTAAGGGCTAATTATTATTATTATTATATATATTAAGATTGTGAAAAATTTTAACAGTAAACTTCAACATTTTTTTGTCTGTTTTCGTCCTTGTAGTTTCTGTATTTGTCTTTTGTTTTTTTTTATACTTTTTTTCCTTTGGGTCTCATACGGTATTTCTTTTAATTTTTCATGCCTTTTGGGTTTAGTTTAATCCATCCAGAGTTAAGGCACCGCCTTCTTCATCCAATCAGATTTCTGCAATCTACCGCTTCATTCTCACTGATATATATATATCATCGCCTACTGCTTTCCTTCTTCGTTGTTACACAAAAAAGCAGAGATGGTTCCTCCACCGCCTCAACCTACCTGCTCTATCTTTCACCGACAACGGACTGGATACGTGTGGTGAATCATGTCTGGTTGGCCGGTGGTTTGGTTGAGGACGGAATCATGGTGAAACATGAATTTTAGCAGGCGAATTTGAAGGCGATGGGGAAACTGCAACTGCAATTGACGGAGAATGCACAGAGTAATTTTTGAATTTAGATTCAGTTTAAGTAAAGTTGGAGAAGTTATTGGTAAAATTAGGCTGCTACTAACATCTACAAACGATCTGCAATGAAGGTGTAATATGTTAGATGCATGGGGGTTTTCTTCTCTTTGTCTAATTCTTATAGGAATTTGAAAGTAATTTTGATGCACACCAACTGCTCGATAAAATGCTTAAACCAAATCTTACTTCTTTTTTATTTGCAAACTCCATATCTCTCAACAGGTAATTGTTAGATGCATTTCATGCATTCATTTTGTAGTTTTAGTTTATAAAAGTGCATTGCATTTAGGTTTAAACTCATGCATTTTGCATATTTTTCGGGATTTTTCATGATGCAATTCCATTCACACACTTTTATGATATTTCAGGGACTTTTGAAGGTTGGATCTTGATGGAGGAAGTTAAAAAGAGTTAGAGACAAAGTTTCAGAAGTTTTGGAGCATTGAAGAGAGAGAGAATGAAGAAATGAAGATTTGAGCCTTTCAGACATTTACACGGCCGTGTAAATGATGGCTTATATTTTACACGGGCCGTGTAAACGCATATGCAAGAGCATTCTACTTTTCTTGTTTACACGGTCGTGTAAATGGCACCCTTTAATTTACACGAGCCGTGTAAACGTCTCGACAGTTTTTAAAGTAGTTTTACTCTCATTTAATGGGGACAATCAGTTTTGTTGGAGGTTAGGTCGGATTTTGGGCAGAGAGAAGGCGATTTTCAGAGCTTTTGGAAGTAGATTAACACTTGGAAACACTTTAATTTCCTTTTTGTAAGTCAATTTGAAGTTTGAACTTGTTTGATTTGTAGTTTAAACCTACAATGTGTGGTTGATTTCATTATCATTTCCGAATCTGAATTCTTAAGTATGTGTTTGTTAGGTTGTAACTTGAACTTGATTTCTGTTTAACATCTAGTAATCTTTGATTTGATCTTAATCATGTGTTTGGTTAGTTCTCTTTTTCACTTGATCAATGAACTAGGGTTCTTATTAATCTAGTTAATCAAATTATGAAATTCGTATATGTTTTATGATTTGATGTTAGTAACACACACTTACTTGTTGTAATTAGATCAAAATTAGTGCAATCAAAGATTAAATGTTTATATTCCCAAGCTTAAGAGGAATGTTAAACATTGTGGTAATTAGGCAAAACTTAATGTCATTTAATGATTTGATGCAAGAACTTATTTGAATTGAATCAATTAAATGAAGTTTTATTTGAAGAGTTGTGAATAAAATACTTTGCCAATTTGGATATTAGAGTTTATTAATATCTAACTTACCAACCTAGATTGAAACATGAGTTATAATCATATTACATCTTTCAAACTAATACATGTATAAGAGTCAGAATCGAAATGTACTTACTTTACTGCGTTTTGTTATCAATCTTTCTTATTTATGAAGTTTAATTCAAGTTCAAACACAATCCCCATTTTAATATTATTTGTATTATGTGTGAAAATATGGCAAGATAAGAAGTCATGTATTCCTGTGGACCGACTCTGCTTACTCTATACTATCTTTAGTATAAGAAATAGCAGTGACTTGAGCTTTATTAATATTATTTTATCCCATTATTTGTTGGTTTGACACCCAAACAGTAATCAATTTCATCATCAATATATTTGATCTGTTTTATATCTATTGTGGTAGGTTGACATTTGTTCTATTAGTTCACACATAAAAATTATTGGGGAGAAATGATTATTATGTTTTTGGCATATTACAGGTGGTTGAATCAAAATTACCCAAATTGTCGAAGACATCATTGTTCACAAGGATGATAGAGATGATTGTTGTTGGAGAGGTACTTATTTTTTGTTTTTTTATAGGGAATTAGTAATTTATATTATCAATTATTTTGGTTAATGATGAATTAGTTTGTTTGTATCAATTTCTATAATGTTCTCAAAATACTTTATTTTATTGATTAATTATTTCTTCTTGGCATATTTTACAGGTGGTTATGCTCTTATCTTGGTTGCATTTTCCATGTCTGTTGTGTTCCATGAGGTATATATTTTGTTAACCTTTTTATTGATGTTCCTTTTGTTAACCAATTTACTTAGTTTCATTTTAAAAGAACCCCTTTAGTAAAATCTGCCATGCAGGCTGTCGTTGGTGTTTGTATTATTTTTCCATTTAATCTTCGTAGAGATGTTCACTTTGGTGTTAAGCCAGTTTCTTCTTCGATTCCGTTTGTTGTGCCATTTCCCAGTGGTTATGAAGAACTTCTTGATGAGGTTGGAATGTTGGATTTCAACAATAGTGATTAAAATTTGTTTGTTCTTTTGACATACATTTGTAGGTACAAATTGTTTTGCGCTCAGGTATGACTCAACCTTATTTGGGGTTTAATCTTAAAGGCTTGATTGTTCTTTAATGTGCTAATTGCTAATTTTTTTTGTTTAGGATGTCATTTTTAATAAGTTGTGGCTTTATTCAGTCAACGGTTTTACTTTTGCTCTTCAAGTGTAGGTAATAGAATTTGATTAGTAATTAAGACTTTTTTTTATAGCTTATATGTGGAGGATTGGCTGGATCTACTACTTCTTTATTTACAACCCTTTTTTTTATGTGGTGAAGAAAACATCGCACACACATGTTTGTTTGTGTAAACATTTTTGTTTGTGATTTCAGTGGTTTGAATCATTTTAAAAATGGATGCATTTTGTTATGGTGTAGCTTTTGACACTCTTAAAGAGATAGCCCAAGATGAAAGACTATAAAGTCCATATAAGTAATAATGATAAAATAAATTTTACTTTTTTTTCTGAAAATGATGGAATGGAATCAGGGGCTTGACTCCAAAAATGGCCATGTACATGAGTTAGGAAGCACTATAGCATTCTACTTTCATTCTAATTATCTGTAACATATACATTTTATATGCTGGTAACATATTTTTGACAATTTAGGTTCACATCTATATATAGTTCAAAGAATTATAGTCCTTACTTTTTGCACTATTCTCTCCTGAATAAATCCGTATCAATAAGGCGTAGAAATTTGTATATATGTAAAAAACCAATAAAAAAATTACCCGTGGTTCATCATGGGCTACCTTCCAGCCCCCGCAACGCGGGGGATCTTTTCTAGTTATTATTATTATTATTATTATTATTATTATTATGAAATCCTTGTATGAACTTTGACTTACAAAGAAGTCATGGGATATGGACATATGGTCATAGTGTAGGGGTTTAGGAGTCAATAATAAATAGTATACTGGCTGTTGATGCAAAGGGTCTGATCCCCAATCTCCGCCGATCAAGTTACAAGCATCAAATGGCCGCTGCTGCCGCTGCTAGGTTGTTTATACGGTCAACTTCTGCCCGTAACGCCGCCGCCAGTCGATTCTCCTCCGGCGCGAAAACCTCCCTCTTTCGCATTCAAACCACTAAACCTCTGTCTCATCGCATCTTCAGGTATAAGCACATATGTATACACATATGCATTACACAAATTTTCATTGCTTAATGGATTTCTTGGTAAATTTGAAGTTGCCCAGCTGAATTGAGCATCTGTTTGGAAACGGTGCAACCTTTTCATGGAGTTACTGCTTCGGCTTTGATGACTTCCATGCTCACTCTCTCTCGCCGGACTTGCGGTTGGATTCCTGAAGGTAAATCAAATCGCACCCTTTCCAATTTTTATCTTTACTCATTCAAATGAATTGAAATTTGATGATAAAATGTTCATTAGGGTACAATTTTATCAATGCGTGTAATCTGTAAACTGTAAATGTTCTCACCTGAGTTTCAGAAGTTGAACTATCTGTTTCACATCGCTGTAATTATATGCAAATGATGCGTTCATTTGGCAAATTCTTATAAGTGATGATATGATTTCAGCTTTTATTTCAAGATTGTTGGCTTCATGGACTCGTAGTTGCTTTATGGCGTTCTGTTTCATTTTTCTTGTAACTGTAATTGAAAACACAGTAATAAAAGTGAAAGGAAATTGACAACTGAATTTGATATTTTCTTTTATATATCTAACACTTGTCTGCTACTTTGACTTGTTATAGGTTCATAAGAAGAAAGCAAAGAAATGTGAACCAGATTGGTGCAAATTATGCTTCTGGTATACGAAATCATTAATGTCAAATGAGTCTTAATAGGATTGCTAATTATGCTTAGTATGCTGTTTGTTATTCTTAGTTATTTTTTTGTAGTGAAATTCCTGTCCAAAATGTTGCTTCAGTTTACATCAAAACCTCAAATTAAGGTTGAAATTTTCATGGAAACTTCTTTTCGTTTTCTCTTGTGGATGTTCTTTTTATTTTGCACATTTTGTGTAATTGATGTTTAAAAGACTTTGTCAAAGTCAAATACGATCATTGGAGATAAAAAAATGTCATGAAAAACTGACAATCATCGTACTTTATGTTTTATTAATAGCAATGTACTTTCTGTTTTTAATAAATGTTTATGTAGTTTGAATAATCACATGAACCGAGTTCCACTAAATCCCAAAATCAAACCTAAAAATTAATGTTAAGAACAAAAACAAGAAATGGAGTTTAATATCCCAAGAATTTACATTGGAAAGATGAATTTGCCCTTGTTTATTAACTAATTTTCATAGTTCCAATTATAAACTATAGAATTGTCAACATAAAACATGAAAAGATTGAAAATAAAGCCATAAAACGATTCATTTTATTATATAGAAATATATATGTTATATTTTACATGTAATCCAAATCTCTATTCAACTTTCTTAGTTTCAACCAAAGTCAACGTCTTCTCTGGCTGTTGACCTTCCTCCTTCCATGGCAACTGTTGTCTGTAGCGTCTAAAGATCACCACACATATAAATGCTGCACACAAACACCCCCAATCAATCACATGGTATAACAATAATAATTGCTACAAGTACACTTATACCCCATTAACTTCGATTTGAAACTCAAACAAATCATTAATAAGATGATTCAACAAAATTACCTGCAAAAATGCGTGTTTTGATCGAAGTCAGATTCCAAAACACTGTAACCACTGATCCTGCAACTACTTTCTTATGAGAACAACCTCTCCATGCTTCCAGTATCCACCCTTTCACGCATTCACTTTTCTTGTGTATTTGAATCGAGTACAATGAGTACAGCTTTGGGCCAGTAAACCCAATGAAGAACCCTAAAAGACGCAAACACAAAACGTAAGTTTTCACTGTTTCACCATTGATACATGAATCAAAATTCATCTACAAAATGATCTTACCAAGTGCACAAAGTCTCTTCAATGTTAGAATATGCCCGTAATCAGATCCAAGTAGTAAAAAATGGTGCTACCTGAAACATGAAACACCATGAGCTAAGATCAATTGTAACGTTAAATTGATCCCAAAAAACTTTAGGGCTATAGATTTACTTTAAGGGTCATCGATGGTTCCCCTGAGAACACCTCTCGAGCTTTTGAAATTACAAGGTTTAATGCAGGAAGTATAACCCTAGCAGCTTTTAGAATGTCGTCTTCTTTAAGCTTAAGCTTTCTCTTGCTTTCTGAACTTCGGGCAATGGAATTTGAGAAGAATGAAACGCCCAAACACAGAAGGCCCAGGTGAGATATCAAAGAAAGCATGCTGAAAACGAAGATCAAATCAGTGAGATGTTGCAAAGTTTGTAAAATTCGAAAGGGGGAAAAGAGCTTGACTTACCTAAAGCTAATGCCTGTTGTGAAACATGAAGATAAGAAACAGAGTGAACCGAACCCAAACCAGAGTGTTGATTTTGCGACATCATTCCACATTATCAAATCATTTATCAGGAATCCGATTCGATCGAAATTGTACCCGTAATCCTCATCGTTTCCTTCTGCAATAACAATACAATCAAGATGATAAGGAAATCAATAGAACGCTACATCAGTTTCAGAAGTGAAGCAAGATAAATATGTTTTTTCTTACTTGGAGATGGAATGGAAGGGCAAGAAATCGATTTCTCCTTCTTCGATCTACCACTATGCCTCCTTTTCTTTGGTTTGTTGTTAACAACGATCGACTCATCAATAGCAATCAGATCTCTATCCTCTCGAATCTCCTCCGTTCGCCTTCTGGATCTTCTAGTGTTTCTGGGTGAACCGATATTAGCAAATCGATTTTTGCAGCGGCGACGAGACCCATATAGGTCGGCGACCTCCTCGGAGACATCGAGTCTGGTTTTTGATCTCTTGGCGGGGGAAGGGGAAAGGAGGAGGAGGTCGTGAAGGGAAAGAGGGGTTTTGGGTTTTGGAGAAAGAGTGTTCTTGGGTAGTAAGAGACTAAATCAAGAGAGAGAATCGGTGGTGGTTCCTGGCCGCTAGTTCGAGCCAGACGTGATGCCGATTTGGTGCGTGTTTGTGGGGCGGATTGCGGGGTGGTGTATGGTGGTGGTGAGTCCATTGAATTGTTTGAGTGGAAGAATTAGAAGAAAGAGATGGTGTTGATAATGGGTTTTGATGTTGCAGGTATCCGTTGGAGGTATATATTTGAAAAATAAGGAGGGGGAAGGAGACGACAATGGGGTGTGGGAGTTTGTGCAGTAGACATTAACGGTAGGAAACCTTTGACAAAAGGTGCCACTTTTGGGGTTGTGAGTCGTGGGGTGTTATTATGTGTTATCATATATTATGAGATTCTTTAGCAAAGTGCTTTTCAAAGGTAACGTTTTATTTTCTTAAACATGTCTTACAAAATGATCAAATTTTATTATAGTTTAACTATACGTTGATTTAGCTAAATAACTAAAAACATAGACAAACATTATTACATTTCACAATAGTCATCTATGTATTTGAAAAAAAAACACGAGAATTATTATTACATTACTTTTATCAAGTTTACCATCACAAACGATCAACTTGTTAGGTTTATCAATTATCATCGACACACTCATTTAAGATGTGAGAAAAATATGAAACAACTTGTTAACAAGATTAGATTTTAAGAACGAGTGATTGTCTTCTCCAACCCTTATGGTCCAACCTAAGAGCGGACAATAAAGGTGCTAAACGAAAATGTTTCTTATTATTTTATAAGGGTGGATGGAGAAGGCTTCCGGTCACAAATATGATGACCCTAAGGATGTGAAGGGAGTGTGACTGCACAAGGCCTCAAAAAATTTATGGCTCGATGATTGGCTCATTTACCTAACTTTTTTGTAAAATATATATAGTCCTTATTACTCTCCAAAAGATCCTTCATGAAGAGGGGAGACTCTAACATATATACTCACTTATATAATTGTGGCGTACCGATATGAAATACACTAAAACTTTCTCTCATAATCGGAGGCTCAATGTGGATAGACAGAGATGTGTTGAGTTACGGGGTGCGGGACGTAGACTCTGATACCATGTAATAGGGATGAGTGTTTGGACCGAAAATCCGAACCGAATTAGGACCGAATAAGTTATACGGGTCGGTTATCGGGTATGTATTTTAAGCTTATACGGTTCTCGGGTTATTCGATCCGGATTACCCAAATAACGGTTTAATCGGGCTAAAAGGACCTACCCGAAAAATTATTAGTCACTTGATCCATTGTTAGCAGCTTCCAGTTTATTCTTTACTTATCGAAATGGTTTTTTTTCAAACCCCAAAACAATCTATTAATCTTGAAATGCAAAATTGGTAAAAAAATATTTGCAACAAATTGATTGTTGCAAACAAACAAAGCTTACTCAAATGTGAATAATTAAACTGCTAAAACTAAGCAGTCGATATAATGATGAAACCTACTCTACTAACAATTGAAATTGATTGTAAATGAAATTTTTAAAAATTCAAACAAGAAACAATTTATAAATGTAGAAGTAAATATTGAAAGATGGTCATCATGTAATATTAATTTTTTTTTCCTTTTTTTTTGTGTGATGAGCCCTTGTTTTAATAGGAGTAATGTAAGAAAAACATAAATATGTATTGTTCTTTGGTTTGTGCTGAAATATATATATATATATATATAGATATATATATAATAGATATATATATATATATATAGATATATATATATATATATATATATATATTTTGTTATTTTGGTCCTAAACATTTATTTTCTTAATTTTATGTTTATATTACTTTTCATATTTATTGAATTATTACTAAATATCATGATTATTGTGCAATGGAGGTGGAAATGGAAAACAACCAATTAATATTTCTGATAGTTAATTTATATTTAGATATTGTTATTTTGGAAAAAACTTAAGATTCATATTTTAATTTGGATGTTTAATGTTTAATATGAATTATGGATTTTTGGAATATGAATTATCAATGTTTAATATTTTTTTTCCTTGAATTAGATATAATATTTCTTTATTTGGGTAATTCAAATTATTTCGGTTTATTTTGGTTATTCAGGTCATTTCAGTTTAAAAGAGTAATATACATGTTATTTCGGTCCTTTCGGGTTAATAACCGAACCAAAACTCGTATTACCTGAACCGAACCAATCTCATATTAGTATAATCGGTTCGGATTTCGGTTTCAACTTTTCATCCAATTCGGGTTTCGGGTTATTCGGGTCCCGTCCGGTTCAGGTCGATTCCCGCCCGAAGCACATCCCTACCATGTAATAGTCATTTATATAATCGTGTCGCACCGATGTGAGATATAGTAACATTAATATATTCTAATTATATAAAACACGTATTTAATTTAGTTCATAAGAGTAGCGTAGATGAATTGGCATAGACATCTTCAGTTGGTTTCAATTCCCTAAATTCAAATCAAGGCTTTGTTTCTTTTTCAAGTTTTATTTTCGATATCTTATATTAGAATAGGAAATTTTTAGTTTAGTTTGTATTATCATTGGCAATGTATAATTGCATATACTTCACAATTCTTATAATATTTCATCATTCTTATCTTTTCAAAAATCATACCAACTTCCACGACTCTCTCAGATACCGTTAAAACTTAACATATTTTATTCCTATCTAATCAGTTCCATTCCAAATGGATTCTAGCATTGGTAAATAAATAATAAAAAAAAACGGATTGAAACTATTTTTTTTGATTGACTAATATATCTTAGTTATCATCATACAACTAGTGAGAAGGCTAATTCATTTTGAAAGCTCATATATTCGACAATTTGACATTGCAACTATCAAATTCGGGTTGTAACGGTCACATTGTTTTAGGATTTTAATTGTCGTTTTAGAATTCTAGTTGTCGTTTAAGTATTTTAATTGTAGTAGCTTAAGTTTTTAATAAAATGTTAATTAAAAACAGTTTTATTTATTTTAAATAAATTTTAAATATTTATATAATTTAATCATTTTGAAAAAATGATGTGGGATGAGAACGATAGGATTTCTTTCCTGTCGTCATCCAGGAGCTCATATCCATGTCAGCCATCATATAACCAACCCAACACAATTTCGGATAAAAGGAAAAGGTTAAGAATAATTTAAAAGCCATATTTGAAGATTTAGGTCAAATAGGTTGAGAATAATTTAAAATGACCAAGATAGCCTCATCCTTCATATCACTAATTTTTATTATTTATAATACACCCATGTATTTTGTTTGGACTACAATAACATAAAATCTCTATTTCTTGTTTGCATGCCTCAGGAAAAATGCTTTAATCCTTTCAAGCCCATCTTCAAGAGCAGATGGCTCAATAGCAAACGTTACACGCACCCAATTCTTCATTCTTAACACAAAACCTACAAAACATTAAAAAAAAAAAAAAAAAAAAAAAAAAAAAAAAAAAAGGCATTTCAAGTTTTCAACATAAACAAAAATCAACCAAAATAAATTATAATCACCAGGCAGAAGGATAACAGACTCCTCTTTAGCAAGTTTTGAGCAAAACTCCATATCATCTTTTATCCCTTCCAACTTCGACAAGTCCAACTTCACCTGAAATAATAACGTCTAAAAAGATTAAAATTTTAACTACAAAAAAGTTAGACAATTTTTATATACCATCAGAAAGAGAGACCCTTGAGGCCTTTGTAAACATGTAAAACATGAAATGTCTTTCAAACATTCATAACACATCTCAGCGTCTTTCCTCAGTATGTCAATAGTCTTGACAAAAAAATCATCACTTGACTTTTCAAGAATTTGAGGAACAGCAGCCTGTATGAATGTTGCAGCTTCTGAATTTGTATTAAGAGACCTCTTTATGCACTCAATAAACTGAAGGAAAAGTACAAAATTTCAGGATCATATTAAACATGTATAACTAATTTATATATTCTATTACAAAATTTTTTAAAAAATACCCCATATTCGTTAAAAACGCCATCAGGGTCGTTTCTTGCTATCCAACCAAGCCTCCATCCAGGAATCAACCACCTCTTTGATAAAGATCCAAGGGTTAAAACAGGAACAACAGAGCCAAAAACCCCCATTGGCACAAATGGCTTACTTCCAAAAGTCAAATGTGCATAAGCTTCATCTGATATCACTAATATTCCCAGCCTTCTTGCAGTCTCAGCAATCTTCAAAAAAGTAAATAATTCAAAACAAGAGAAGAAAGAAATAGATAGAACACAAACACACACCTTTTGTAGATGATGATGTGAGAATATATTGCCACAAGGGTTCCCGGGATTGATAATGACCATGGCAACAGTTTTATCATCTGCCATTGTTTCAAGCCCATTCAAGTCAACCTCCCAATCTTTTTCTTGAACAAGGTCAAAATGGCGGACTTCAATCTGATTAAGAATGGCTAGAGCTTCATAAGCTGGGTAGCCAGGTTTAGGAAGAAGAATATTTGCACCTGGTTTTCTCAGTGAAGATAATACTACTTCAATTGCTTGTTTAGCACCGAGTGTTACATAAACATCATCGGGAGATAGCTTATAAGGGAGGTTGCGAGAAAGGAACTCGGCTATGGACCTGTTAATTTTAATCAAAACATTTAATAAATCAGAGATTCAAAGGTCAAATCACCGGAGAACAAACATTTGAATGCAGATTTCGTATCGATTTCGATTTTGAATAAAGGTAGGAAGAAAGGGATAACACTAATTAATACCTTCTTGCTTGAAGAACTCCGCCTTTGGGTGCATAGCCGTTGAAGTTAGCAGAGCGGAGAGCGTCGACTACTGCATCTTCTGCTACTTGAGTCGTGCGGAAGCATGGAAATGACGAAGGATCTCCATGGCCGAGAGGTATAATGGGCCTTTGATCACTTGGGTTTACGTTTGTCTTGACATCATCAAGAACAAGTTTGATTGAAAACGCTGATGCAGTCTTTAATTTGCTATTCTCTCTGAATTTCCACTCTTTCATTGCCATCTTCTGAAAGAAAAAGTTGAAGCAAGTAACTTAAGGATCAGCTATTGGTGGATTATGTGCTCATATTTTCCGATTGAAATTCATGCGATGTGATGCTTTTCGACTTTTCCACATTAGGAATCTTTTGGTTTATTTTCTTACCACCTGTTTCTCACCTTCTCGGTAATCTAAAACTATTAATTAATTCAGTGTAAATTTATTTTGGATAATTACAAAAATTATCACTCACTTATTCACAAATACCAATAGGATTTTATAAGGGGGTTTTCTAAAATTACCTTTTTTTTTCCAATTCCACATCTGATTTGATTTTTTGTCTTTTTTTTTTTTTATTTTTTTTCCTATTTTGTTTATTTATTTTTTTAATTCCTTTTTAATTTATTATTATTATTATTATTATTATATTTTAATGTTATTATTATTATTATAAATTTCACACAAAATTTTAACATTTGGACGAAATTATAAATTCGAACGGCTATATGAAATCGGTTTTTAAATAATTTTATATTTTCATATTAATATTATTATTATTATAAATTTCGAATAACATTTTATAAATCGAGCATTATAAATTTAAACGACTATATAAAATCGGAACAAAAACAAAGTTTGTCCCTATTAATTACGGATATTAATTGGTAATGTATTACAATTGCGTGATGCATTATGCGGATTGAAATAATTTAGTTGAGCACTATACTATGTTTCCGATTTTATATAGCAGTTCGAATTTATAATAATAATAACAATAATAATATTAATATCAAAATATAAAAAAAATATTAATAACCGATTTTATATAGCCGTTCGAATTTATAATGTCGTCCGAATATTAAAATTTTGTAGGAAATTTATAATAATAATAATAATAAGATAAATTAAAAAAAAACAAAAAAAAAACAAAATTGGAAAATAAACAACAAAAGAAAAAAAAAAGTAAAAAAATGATTTCAAATCAAATGTCAAAAAATTGATTTGATTGATTTTAAGGGGGGTAAATTTGGATAAGGGGGTACTTATAGCACAACCCTTCTATAAGTACCCCATTCCCTTTCCAATTCTATAAGTACCTCTTCCCTTTCCAATTCTACCTCTTTGATTTGATTTTTTGTATTTTGTTGTTTTTTTTTCCTATTTTGTTTTTTTGTTGTTTTTAATTCTTTTTTAATTATTATTATTACTATTACTATTATTATTATATTTTAATTATTATTATTATAAATTTCGCACAAAATTTTAAAATTCGGACGACATTATAAATTCAAATGACTATATAAAATCGGTTTTTAAATATTCTTTTATATTTTTTAATTACGGACAAAAAAGTTGTTCGAATTTTATAATGTCGTGCGAATTTATAATGTTTACCGAATTTTAAAATGTCATCCGAAATTTAAAATGTTGTCCGAATTTTTTCTGATTATTGAAATTTATAATAATAATAATAATAATAATAATAATAATAATATTAAAATATAAAATAAAATCAAATCAAATCAAAAACAAAAGGGAAAAAAAAAGAAAAATAAAAAAATAATATCAAATTAAAAATAAAAAAGTTGATTTGATTGATGTTAGGGAGGTAAAATTGGTTAAAGGGGTACTTATAACTCATTTAATTTTTAGTTTTGTGATTATTTGATTAATTGTTTTTAAGTTTTATATAGTTATAAAGTTTATTATTTTTTATCTAAATAATCGCACAATAATAAGTTTATATATTTATTTAGGCTGTCTAAGATTGCTTATTTTTTTTCTTTATGGCTATTTAAAGTTATTAATTTTTTGGACTATAGTTACTTTTTAAGACAAAATTGCAAAAATGGTCCCTGTGGTTTGTCAATTTTTGTGGGTAAGTCCAAAAAAAAGTTTATTAGCAAAAAATCTCCTTATTTGATGGTTTTATTACGGTTTTGGTCCCAACCTCGTTAAGTTTAACAGCATGACTGTTAACTTTTGGCAAATGACGGATTTATCCCTGGGACCATTTTTGTAGTTTTATTTTTTACCAAACTACAAGGACCAATTATGCAATTTTTCTTTTTCATTTTATTGAATTATTATATATTAATTATTTTAATTACTTTTTTTTAAACTTTTTTCTTATTGTATTATTTTTTATTAGATTATTATATATTAATAAATATTAATTTTAACATATAATATTTATCTATTAGTAAGTGTTACCTTTTTTGGATTATTAAAGTAATTTAATCAATTTTTAATTTTTTTTTTATTTTGTTAATTCTTTTGATTGGATTATTATATATTATAAAATATTATTTTTAATATATTATATTTATATATTAATAAATATTACTTCTTTTTATTAATTTTTTAGATGATTTTTTTAATTTCTTTTTATGGTATTAATTCTTTTTTATTGGATTATTATATATTAACAAATATTATTTTAGCATATAATATTTATCTATTAGTAAGTGCTACTTTATTGGATTATTAATTTTATTTAATTAATTTTTTTAATTTTTTTTATTGCATTAGTTCTTTTTATTGGATTATTAATTTAAATTTATTATTTTTATTTATAATAAATAATATTTTTTTACTTGTTTTTATTTTTTTTAATTTCTTTCTTTATTGTTTAAAATAAAAATACCAAAAAATCTCACCCACCCCACATTTTCTAATTTAGTTTTAATATTTGGAAGATAACATATTTTGGACAACACCACCACCATCACTCACTCACAACAAACCACTATCGGGTCATCTCCAACTCTGTTACTATATATACGAATATATAAGTTCAGTAATTATTCACGAAATGAGATCATCGAATGTATTTTAGTTTTTGTGTATTCAAATATATCTAAATTTGTTATATATTTCAATAAACTTATGATTTTGACATATATAATTTCCCTAAAAATATTTCAACATGAATTACTAAATCTGAGTATTCGCTACTCGGCGGTCGGCCGAACGAGTACCGAATAACGAGTTCTACAACTTTTTCACCACCTGTAGTGGCTATGGTGGTTTGAAAACCATCGATCTAACATTGTCGTCATCGATGGTGGTATCTGTAATGAATGGTCGGCTGGAGAAAGTATGCTTTCTGGGGTTTATTTCACACTGTGTGGGTAGTCAACTGGTGTAGTTTTCGTCGAGAATGGCCGACTGTAGTCGATTATCGATGATATTCCAACGAGATGATACGACGACGCAAGGTGGTAAAATGCAATGAATGGAGGAGCTGACCCGGAGTGTTTGGTATTTTTATTTGAAACAATAAAGAAAGAAATTAAAAAAATAAAAACAATTAAAAAATATTATTTATTATAAATAAAAATAATAAATTTAAATTAATAATCCAATAAAAAGAACTAATGCAATAAAAAAATTAAATAAAATTAATTAAATAAAATTAATAATCCAATAAAGTAACACTTACTAATAGATAAATATTATATGCTAAAAATAATATTTGTTAATATATAATAATCCAATAAAAAGAATTAATGCAATAAAAAAAATTTAAAAAAATCAATTAAAAAAATTAATAATAAAAAAATAATTTTTATTATAATATAAATATAATATATTAAAAATAATATTTATTAATATATAATAATCCAATCAAAAAAATTAACGAAATAAAAAAATTAAAAAAAAAATTAAATGAATTTAATAATCCAAAAAAGTAACACTTACTAATAGACAGATATTATATTTTAAAAACAATATTTATTAATACATAATAATCCCATAAAAAAATTAATGCAATAAAGAAGAAATTCAAAAAAAATTAAAAAAATTAATAATAATAAAAAGTAATATTTATTAATATATAAATATAATATATTAAAAATAATATTTATTAATATATGATAATCCAATAAAAAATAATACAATAAGAAAAAAGTTAAAAAGAAAAAAGTAATTAAAATAATTAATATATAATAATTCAATAAAATGAAAAAGAAAAATTGCATAATTGGTAATGATACTAGGTTTTGTTAAGGGAAAATTGTTTTAAGACTAACGAAGCGCTGTCTGAGTACCGAGTCACCACCTTATCAAGTGAGTGCATAGTTACTTTCATCTTACATATTGATATGAAGTATTATATATAAATTACGTGCTATGTGTGCATATAACCTGTATACTTGCTATCTATGCTGGATGAACGATTTTATACATGTTTTAAATGATTTAAATTGTATACGTATTTTATATCTACAAATATGTTGGGTATAACATGGGTAGATGAAGGATAAGAGATAAAAGATGATATGAGTGAACATTGGCAGCTATGGACTTAGTGCCTATTGAATAAACGTTGGTAGCTATGGACTTAGTACCTGATGGATAAACGTTGGTAGCTATGGACTTAGTACCTGATAGATAAACGATGGTAGCTATGGACTTAGTACCTATTATATAAACAAAGGTAGCTGTGGATTTAGTACCCGATGAATGAACTTTAGCAGCTATGGATTTAGTGCTTTACAAATGAGCATTGGCAGCTATGGACTTAGTGTCTGTCTTATAAACTCTGGAAGCAAGGGACTTCGGAATGAACGAATGCAGGATAGATGACTCTTAGGGTAAACCCTTAAGAGTGGGGAAGATAATGGGGATGGGTAATTGGGTTGATTGTTTGTTGTTTAAATATAATAATTATATTATTGTGGGTTGAAAACCATATGTACTCACCAGGTTTCCCAACCTGACCCACTCAAGCTTATTTGTATCACAGATGTCGATATGAAGTTACATTACACTGAGAGATTAGGAGATGTAAATCACTAGTGTTAATGAATGTAAGTTCTGTTTATGCTTATGTTTCTATATTGACGATGACATCCCAAAGTTTTAAAATGGATAAAAATACATTTCTTCGGAAATGCATTGATAACGTATTTATCATGTTTTTCTGGGAACAAATTCCGCAACGTTTTTATTAAAAGAGGTACTCTGATTTTTATAAAGCATAAACAAAATTGCTCTTTTCTGGCCGTGAAAATGGGGATGTCACACATTCCATACTCTCGGATAAGGGACAATTGATCTATGTCTAAATCCATACTCCCGGATTAATGACAAATTCTATGT